CTGCAATATAATAATACAAAATAATACAATAATATAAATAATAAATATAAATATTTGCAATAATAATAATAATAATAATAATAATAATAATAATAATAATATTAATGCTGTTGGCCAAAGCCTTGTTTGGGGAAGGCTGCGTTGCATTGAAACCACCCTACCCTTTTTCCCTAATATCATATAACTCCAAATATTGGGAGGGGCGGTCTTTGCAGTCTGTACACAGCTCCTTCCGTGACTGTGGATACGATGCAAAACTCATCAATCTGGACCCGTTTGCTGCCAAAACTGGGGCCTTAATCCGGATCGGCTTGCGCTCATTAGAGGCCATTAAGCCCCGGCCTTGGAGGGGGGCGGATGGCGGTCCATTGGCTTCAATGCTGCCAAAAGGGGAACCGGCCAAGGCCAATCAGGGCCGCCTTCCAAACCCCTGCCATCATCATCATCACCACCACCACCACCACCATCATCACCGGCGCAATTAGGACCAGATGCCTCCCTCTCGCAATGACGGCCGATCCGGGCCAAGAAGCAACAGAAGGCTTGGATGCAACCACACAAACCGATCTATTTATCTATCTATTATAGATGAGAGCTTGACAAACAAAATGGGAAGGGCATCAAGCTGCCCAGGGAAGTCACCTAGGAAAGATATTTATGTATGTATGCATGTATCTATATATATATATATCTATTTATATCTATATATTCAGTCATTCATACACACACACACATACACAGTGTTCCCTCACTTATCGCGGGGATTACGTTCCAGGACCACCCGCGATAAGTGAAAATTCGCAAAGTAGGGACGCTATATTAACTGTAATTTTAATACGTTAAATATTACATTAATTGTAATATTTATACGTATTTATATTTATGTAATATTTCTACATTATTTATACATTAAATGAGCAAAAAGAAGTGACAGGGCACGAGGGGCCACACACTAGCCTCCCTTTCTGAGGACCGTTGTAATGTAAATATTTAAAATTCATTTTTTTGAAAATCCGCAAAACAGCGAGTCTACGTAAAGTGAACCGCGAAGTAGAAAGGGAAAACTATATACACACACACAAACACACACATATATATGATTATGAAAGGGATCTAGAAGTCTTTAGTACACCATACGCCTACTAAACGGTGTGATGCTGCAGCAGAAAAGGCCAATGTGATTCCAGGCTGCATCAAAAGGGGCCTAAATGGAGGAAAGTAATGTACATACGTATGTATGTATATGTGTATAAATGAGAAAGAGCTCTACGGGTGTTTATTTACTATATTTTTTTATATACCGCTTTTCTCAGCACTTGGGCGACTCAAAGCGGTTTACAGTAGTTATGGTTTGTCCAGGGTGTGAGAAAGAATTCTTGTCTGTTGGAGGAAGAAGGGATTCCTCATCTTCAGAAGAGGAAGGGGAACAGGGAAGTGCTCAGGAACTGGAGGGAGAAGAAGAATCAGACGAGGAGGGTTTGAAAGTGCCCACATTTCTAGAGAGACGAAAAGAGACAGAGCACAGACGACACCAAATTGCAGACGACACCAAATTGGGAGGGATAGCCAATAGTCCAGAGGACAGGAGCAGAATTCAAAACGATCTTGACAGATTAGAGAGATGGTCCAAAACTAACAAAATGAAGTTCAACAGTGACAAATGCAAGATACTCCACTTTGGCAGGAAAAACGAAATGCAAAGATACAGAATGGGGATGCCTGGCTCGAGAGCAGTACGTGTGAAAAAGATCTTGGAGTCCTCGTGGACAACAAGTTAAACATGAGCCAGCAATGTGATGTGGCGGCAAAAAAAGCCAATGGGATTTGGCCTGCATCAATAGGACATAGTGTCTAGATCTAAGGAAGTAATGCTACCCCTCTATTCTGCTTTGGTTAGACCACACCTGGAATACTGTGTCCAATTCTGGGCACCACAATTGAAGAGAGATATTTACAAGCTGGAATGTGTCCAGAGGAGGCGACTAAAATGATCAAGGGTCTGGAGAACAAGCCCTATGAGGAGCGGCTTAAGGAACTGGGCATGTTTAGCCTGAAGAAGAGAAGGCTGAGAGGAGATATGATAGCCATGTATAAATATGTGAGAGGAAGTCATATGGAGGAGGGAGCAAGCTTGTTTTCTTCTTCCCTGGAGACTAGGATGCGGAACAATGGCTTCAAACTACAAGAGAGATTCCATCTGAACATGAGGAAGAACTTCCTGACTGTGAGAGCCGTTCAGCAGTGGAACTCTCTGCCCCGGAGTTGGTGGAGGCTCCTTCTTTGGAAGCTTTTAAGCAGAGGCTGGATGGCCATCTGTCAGGGGTGATTTGAATGCAATATTCCTGCTTCTTGGCAGGGGGTTGGACTGGATGGCCCATGAGGTCTCTTCCAACTCTTTGATTCTATGATTCTATGATTCTATGACAGACGGCACTCAGCTAGGATAGCTGCTAAAAACGCTAATTGGGAGATGCCCTAGCACCTCCTGTGTCAGGGTGTTCAGCTAGGATAGCTGCTAAAAATGCTGAGCTAATTGGGAGACACCCTAGCACCTCCTGTGTGGGGAATTCAGGGCTATAAATTAGAGGCAGGAGCAGTTAGCTTTCTCTGGTAACAACGACCCTGATACTGATGTTTACACTTCAATGGAATCTGCTTTGTATCTGCTGCTAAGGACTTGGTTCATTGCTCGCTGTCTGATAAAAGACTGGAGTTTCTTTTGGGACTTTGTAAGAGACTTTGATTTCTGTCTGGATTAAGACTTCCTTGTTTTCTCTTGCACTTTTAAATTTCATTTGCTTATCATTTGTGTTTAGTAAGCCGTAAGATGAACATGAGTCAAGAGTGTGATGCTGTAGCAGAAAAGGCCATTGCGATTCCAGGCTGCATCAATAGAAGTCTAGATGGCGGGAAGGCATATATGTTATATATGACATTACTAATAATATTACAACATAATGCTTTAATAATACAATATAGTAATAATTAATACTGATATTGTACTATGATAATAATATATATTGTAAGTATGTATGTATGTGTGTGTATGTGTGTATATATATGTGTGTGTGTGTATGTATATATACATATCTCTATCTATCTATCTATCTATCTATCTATCTATCTTGTAAGGCTCTCTGAGTCACCTTCGGGGTGAGAAGGGTGGCATAGAAAGGTCATAAATAAATGAATGAATGAATGAATGAATGAATGAATAAATAAATAAATAAAATGTATGTATATGTGTGTTTGTGTGTGTATATGAGAAAGAGATCAAGGGGTCTTTGGTAGGTCAAAACTGAACATGAGTCAAGAGTGTGATGCTGCAGCCGAAAAGGCCAATGTGATTCCAGGCTGCATCAATAGGAGTATAGATGGAGGGAAGTCATATATGTATGTATATGTGTGTGTGTCTATCTGTATGTATATATATATGAAAGGGATATAGGGGTTAGAAGCTGAACATGAGTCAAGAGTGTGATGCTGCAGCAGAAAAGGCCAATGCAATTCCAGGCTGCATCAACAGGAGTCTAGATGGAGGGAAATCATATATGTATGTATATGTGTATGTATGTATGTGTATACACACACACACACATATATAGCTCACAATCATATCTATATTCATCTGTTGGGAGGGACTGGATTGTGTTTTTCCTTTATGGTAGAAAGGGGTTGGATATCTCATAATCATATCTATGGACATCTATATATGTGAGGACATCCTCACTACCTCTGAGGATGCTTGCCAAAGTGCAGGCGAAACGTCAGGAGAGAATGCTGCTAGACCATGGCCATACAGCCCAAAAAAACCTACAACAACCCATCTATATATGGTTGGGTGGCCATCTGTCAGGAGGGACTGGAATGTGCCTTTCCCATATAAGGGCAGGACTGGGGTTGGACCAGATGACCTTTGGAGGTCCTGTCCAACTCTAGGATCCTATAACTACGTTCCACCTCATAGTTTACAATCCAGCGGGAGGCCCTGCTCTAGGTCCCACCAGCCTTGCAAGCGCATCTGGTGGGGGCGAGGGACAGGGCCTTCTCGGTGGTGACCCCCGCTTGTGGAATTCGCTCCCCAGCAAGATTAGATCGGCATCCTCCCTCCTTTCCTTTAGGAAAAAACTGAAATCATGGTTTTGGAACTAGGCTTTTGGTAAGCAGGCATAACGGCACTTTGGAAATTGAACTGGACCATATGATTGTTATAATGATGGAAACGGCTATAAGACTGTATAATTAATGCTATTGTTCTAATCTATTGCGTATTTATGGTTTTATATTATTGTTATATTGTGATATTGGGGCATCAAATTGTTGCCAGTGTTAGCCGTTCTGAATCCCCCCTCGGGGGTTGAGAAGGGCGGGGTGAAATGTTGTAAATAAATAAAAATAAATGATATAATAGCAATAGTAAAAATAATAAAGCAGAGGCTGGGTGGGCATCTGTTGGGAGGGATCAGATGGGGTCTTTCCCACGTAAGGGCAGGACTGGGCTTGGGTCAGATGGCGTTTGGAGGTCCCGTCCAACTCTAGGATCCTATGATTCTATAATAACAATAGTGATAATGATAAAGCAGAGGCTGGGTGACCATCTGTTGGGAGGGATCGGATGGTGCTGCCCTTTATGGAAGAAGGGGGTTGGATTAAATAGCCTTTGGGAGGCCCTTCCAACTGTAGGATCTTGTTGTTGTTGATGTTATTATGTCCTGCCTAAGGCCTGGAGCGGGGTTGGGCCGGATGGCCTTTGGGGGTCCCTTGCAAACCTTATGGCTTTGCTTCCTGACATTCGAGGGGAAGCTGCCTTTCGAAAGCAAGCCGCAATTGGCAGGCACTGGCAGCCTGGCCGGCCTTTGCTGCGCTCGGTGCAGATGGAAGGCGGCGCAGCGAGTGCCAGGCTGTCAGTTGGATTAAAACGACTCATTTATTTGCAAAGCAGGCGCCGCATCCTCTCCTCCTTCGCACCTTCCTCCTCCTCTCCTGCCAAGAGTCATTACCGGGAAAGAGGGACAGCTTGGGCCGCGGGACGGGGCCAAGCGCCGGGCCAGGAAAGTGGCAGCGCGCATTAGCCCGACCGAGCCGGACACGCGGAAGGAGAAGGTGGAGGAAGCGGCCGGTGCCAACTCCCCCCTTGAGAGTAGGGGACGGGGGTGCACACGGAAACTTTGCTGAAGGAGAAAGAGCGGGAGAAGGAGGACCCCAAGGGACTGGCCTTTGCCTTCCTCCACTGCTGAACGGCTCTCACAGTCAGGAAGTTCTTCCTCGTGTTCAGATGGAATCTCCTCTCTTGTAGTTTGAAGCCATTGTTCCGCATCCTAGTCTCCAGGGAAGCAGAAAACAAGCTTGCTCCCTCCTCCCTGTGGCTTCCTCTCACATATTTATACATGGCTATCATATCTCCTCTGAGCCTTCTCTTCTTCAGGCTAAACATGCCCAGCTCCTTAAGCCGCTCCTCATAGGGCTTGTTCTCCAGACCCTTGATCATTTTAGTCGCCCTCCTCTGGACACATTCCAGCTTGACAATATCTCTCTTGAATTGTGGTGCCCAGAATTGGACACAATATTCCAGGTGTGGTCTAACCAAAGTTGGGAGAGACCTTGTGGACCATCCAGTCCAACCCCATTCTGCCAAGAAGTAGGAAAATTGCATTCAAAGCACCCCCAAACAGATGGCCACTGTTTCAAAGCCTCCAAAGAAGGAGCCTCCACCACATTCCAGGGCAGAGAGTTCCACTGCTGAACGGCTCTCACAGTCAGGAATTTCTTTCTAATGTTCAGATGGAATCTCCTTTCCTGTAATTTGAAGCCATTGTTCCATTGCGTCCTAGTCTCCAGGGCAGCCGAAAACAACCTTGCTCCCTCCTCCTGACCTTCTTTTCTTTCTCTTTCTTTCTTCCCTCCTCCTTCCCTCCTCCAGCAGAGGCTGGATGGCCATCTATTGGGAGGGGTCAGATGGTGTCTTCCCTTATTGCGGAAGGGGCTGGATGACCCTTGGGATCCCTTCCAACTCTAGGATACTATAGTTGCAATATTATTATTATTATTATTAAGCAGAGGCTGGATGGTCCTCTGTCGGGAGGGATTGTATGGTGCCTCCCTTGACAGCAGACTTTGATGGCCCTTGGAGTCTCTCCTAACTCTGGGTTTGTATATGATGATGATGGCCATCCATCAGGAGAAATCAGATATTAATAACCTTCCAACAGTAGGATTCTATGGTTCTATTATTATGATTGCAGAGACTGGGTGGCCATCTGTCGGGAGGGATCGGATGGTGCCTCCCTTTATGGCAGAAAGGGATTGGACTGGATAGCGTTTGGAGAACCCTTCCAACTCTAGGATTATTATTATTATTATTATTATTATTATTATTGAGAGGCTGGATGCCCCTCTGTCGGCAGGGATCGGATTGTGTTTTTCCTTTACAGCTGAAAGGGGTGTTATACTAGATAGCCATTGGGTAACCCTTCCAACTCTAGGATTCTATTATTATTATTATTATTATTATTATTATTATTATTATTATTATTACTATTACTGAGAGGCTGGATGCTTCACTGTCAGGAGAGATCGGATTGTGCTTTCCCTTTACAGCAGAAGGGGGGTGTTGGACTAGATAGCCATTGAGGAACCCTTCCAACTCTAGGATTCTATTATTATTATTATTATTATTATTATTATTATTATTATTATTATTAGGCTGGATGCCCAGACTAGGCTGGACTAGATAACTATTGGGGAACCCTTCCAACTCTAGGATTTTATTATTATTATTATTATTATTACTATTACTGAGAGGCTGGATGCCTCTCTGTCGGGAGGGATCAGATTGTACTTTCCCTTTACAGCAGAAGGGGGGTGTTGGACTAGATAGCTATTGGGGAACCCTTCCAACTCTAAGATTCTATTATTATTATTATTATTATTATTATTATTATTATTATTACTATTACTGAGAGGCTGGATGCCCCTCTGTCGGTAGGGATTGGATTGTGTTTTTCCTCTACAGCAGAAGGGGGGGGTTGGACTAGACAGCCTTTCGGGGAATCCTTCCAACTGGAGGATTCTATTATTATTATTATTATTATTATTATGGAGAGGCTGGATGCCTCTCTATCGGGAGGGATCGGATTGTGCTTTCCCTTTACAGCAGAAGGGCAGTGTTGGACTAGACAGCCTTTCAGGGAATCCTTCCAACTGTAGGATTCTATTATTATTATTATTATTATTATTATTATTATTATTATTATTATTATGGAGAGGCTGGATGCCCCTCTGTCGGGAGGGATCGGATTGTGCTTTTCCATTACAGCAGAAGGGGTGTTGGACTAGATAGCCTTTGGGGAACCCTTCCAATTGTATGATTCTATGATGATGATGATGATGATGGAGAGGTTGGGTGCCCCTCTGTTGGGAGGGATCGGATTGTCAGCCTGGACGGCCTTTTGCGTGGAGACGGAGGGCGGTCATCCAGCGCTTCTCAGCTCTAATGCCTCCTGATGGCTGTAATTTACACCGCCTGCAACCGGACGACAGCTGCTGCTGCTTCTGCTGCGAAGAAGAGCGAGCAAATTGTGCAGCGAGGCAGGAAGGAGCCGGAGAGACATGAGAGGCCAGGCCTCAGAGGGAGAGAACGACCAAAGCCTTCCTTGCGCACCAGCAAAGAGGCCTCACTCACTGAAGTGTCCGGCCCTGAACTCAGGACCCTCAAGGGCGGGCGGGCTTTGGGGCCGTTTGCACTTGGTCGCAAGCAGGACGTTCGGGGACTTACGGTACAGAGCAGAACACCACTCTCCAAACTCAGGAAGTCCTGGAAGACGGACGTCCTCTCCTGGAAGGAGGAGAACAACAATCAATAACAACAACAGTTCATTTATTAGCTACCTTTACGTTTGTCTCAAGGCAAACTCATCAATAATAATAATAATAATAATAATAATAACAATATCCTTATTAGCTACGTCTTCTTGTGGCTCAAGGTGGGCACATGGTTGATTATTATTATTATTATTATTATTATTATTATTATTATTATTATCAACAACAACAACAACAACAACAGTTTATTTATTAGCCACCTCTATATTTGTCTCAAGGCAAACTCAACAATAATAATAATTATCATCATCATTATCATCATCATCATCATCATAATTTCTTTACCAGCCATGTCTTCTTTTGGATCAAGGTGGACACTGTTTATTATTTTTATTATTATTATTACCATCATCAACATCAACAACAACAGTGTATTTATTAGCCACCTCTACGTTTGTTTCAAGGCAAACTCATCAATAACAATAATAATAATAATTTCTTTATTAGCCACGTTTTCTTATGGCTCAAGGTGGACACATTATTTATTATTATTATTATTACTATTATTATCAACAACAAAAGTTTATTTATTGGCCACCTCTATGTTTGTTTCAAGGCAAACTCATCAATAATAATAATAATAATAATAATAATAATTTCTTTATTAGCCATGTCTTCTTGTGGCTCAAGGTGGACACATTGTTTATTATTATTATTATTATCAACAAGTTTATTTATTAGCCACCTCTATGTTTGTCTCAAACTCATCATCAATATAATAATAATAATAATAATAATAATAATTTCTTTATTAGCCATGTTTTCTTTTCATTATTTTTATTATTATTGTTATTGTTATTATTATTATTATTATTATTATTATTATTATTATTATTATTATTAACAGCAACAACAACAACAGTTTATTTATTAGCCACCTTTAAATTTGTCATCAAGGCAAACGCATCATTAATAATAATAATAATATTTTCTTTATTAGTCACATCTTCTTCTTATTTATTATTATTATTATTAACAGCAGCAACAACAACAGTTTATTTATTAGCCACCTTTAAATTTGTCTCAAAGCAAACGCATTATTATTATTATTATTATTAATAATATTTTCTTTATTAGTCATGTCTTCTTCTTATTTATTATTATTATTATTATTATTATTATTATTAACAGCAACAACAACAACAGTTTATTTATTAGCCACCTTTAAATTTGTCTCAAGGCAAACTCATCATTAATAATAATAATAATAATAATAATAATAATTTCTTTATCAGCCACATCTTTTGGCTCAAGGTGGGCACATGGTTGTATTATTATTATTATTATTATTATTATCATCATCATCATCAATAACAGTTCATTTATAAGCGACCTCTACGTTTGTCTCAAGGCAAGCTCACTGTTGTTAACAATTATTATTATTATTATTATTATTATTATTATTATTATTATTAATGCCTCTAGAACATGGCCACATAGCCTGAAAAAACCTATAACAACCCAGTGATTCTGGTCATGAAAGCCTTCGACAATACATTATTATTATTATTATTAATTGTTTACCTCTCCTTTCAGATCAAGATGACACAAAACAAATAATAACAATGATAATCATATTTTTTATTGATTACCCGCCTCTCCTTTTGGATCTTATTATTATTTACTTGCCTCTCTTTCAGCTCAAGGCAGGATCCAAAATAATAATAGTAATACATTTCCATTTAATTCCCGCCTTCCCTTTCAGATCTCAAGGCGGCGGCGGGGGCGCAACAGTGTTCAATAGATCCATAAGGTCTCATATTAAAACTTAGCTACAACGCAACCAGAAAAGCATATATGAAAACATATTAAAACGGGACGCCGCAGAGAGATTGCTGAGCAGCAAAGGTGACCCAAGGCTTTTAATTTTGATTTTCATCTGTTTCAAACCGAGTCCCTGGAAGCCGCTCGCTTCCGGAGGCCAAGAAATGCCAATGAAATATGACTTGCGCTTGCCTTATTTGTTTTGTTTTCCCACCCCGCAGTTATTGACACTGCAAACTCCTTGGAATAAGAATCAGGCTTTGGAAATAGCCAATGTACTACAACTCCCATCAACGGGGCCAATAGACCTATAGGGAGTTGAGATGGCAGACCTTGCACTGAATGGGATAGATGGCCTCTGGGGGCCCCTTCCAACTCTACAGCCAGGGAAGAAATAGAATTATTATTATTATTATTATTATTATTATTATTATTATTATTATTATTATCATTACCTTATTATTATTTATTTGGTTCACCAAATATCAGGTGGCATCCATGTTATTTTTCCTAATATTATAGCCACATGATGAAGCGAGTAAGAAATATATTGTTATTATATAATATTTATTATTATGTATTGATTTGAAAGAGCATCAAGTATTATTATTATTATTTATTTATTATTTACTATATTTGTATAGCCCTTGGGAGACTCAGAGCAGTTAACAATAGCAAAATTCAATGCTCAAATACATCATAAAACAGTTAAAAACAATTACAACAGTAGCATACAGTTAATATAAATCAATAAAACATCTCATTCGCGTCTCAGAGTTAAGATCGAAACCCAGTATCAGGTGACCATATTTTTCCCAACTCTACAGCCATAAGGAGCTGGGAAATAATAATAATAATATATATTATTCAAACTACAAGAGAGGAGATTCCATCTGCACATAAGGAAGAACTTCCTGACTGTGAGAGCCGTTCAGCAGTGGAACTCTCTGCCCCGGAGTGTGGTGGAGGCTCCTTCTTTGGAAGCTTTTAAACAGAGGCTGGATGGCCATCTGTCAGGGGTGCTCTGAATACAATATTCCTGCTTCTTGGCAGGGGGTTGGACTGGATGGCCCATGAGGTCTCTTCCAACTCTTTGATTCTATGATTATTATATTAATATTAATATTAATAATATTAATAATAATTTAATGGAAAGACCAGCAAGTGTCATATGACCTCCATGTTATTTTTCCAACTCTAGAGCCACAAGGAGAGGTAATAATAATAATAATAATTATTATTATTATTATTATTATTATTATTATATATTATCATTATTATTGTTATTATTATTTAATTGAAAGACCAGCAAGTATCATATGACCTCCATGTTATTTTCCAACTCTAGAGCCACAAGGAGAGGTGGATTATTATTATTATTATTATTATTATTATTATTATTATTATTATTATTTTAATTGAAAGACCAGCAAGTATCAGGCAACCTCCATATTTTTCCAATATTATAGATGCAAGGAGAGGCAGGTAAGACATAAAATACTACTACTACTACTACTACTACTACTATTATTAGTAGTAGTAGTAATTTAATTGAAAGACTCACAAGTTTCATAATTTTCCTATATTACATCTGCAAGGAGAGGCAGGTAAGAAATAGTTGTTGTTGTTATTATTATTATGATGATTATTTTGAAAGACCAGCAAGTCTCAGATGACCTCTGTGTTATTTTTCCAATACCAGAGCTGAAAGGGGAGGTATTAACGCCCCATTAACGCTCTCGATTTGCAGGCGCTAATGACCTGCTGGGAATGGAAACCTTCCTGGAGCGGAGCCTCCACAGCTGCTCCAAAGTAACAAAATGGCAAATATTCAATGCCCAGAACAAATAAATAACAAATCAAAACAGTGGATAAGACAATCCTAATATAGAACTATAAAACAACTGAAAAAGAACCAAAAATTAAACATAAATAGACATGACATAGCACAATTAAACAAATAATTATATAATAAAAATTATAAAAATGAAATATATCGCACTTTATAGCTTATATATTAATATAAGGCTGATATATTAATATAATAGATCATAGTATTAATATATTACTGATGTTGTGCTATGCTAATAATATAATATATTGTATATACATATAGTATTGGAAATAATATTATAATGTAATACAATAGCAACAATAATACAATATAATAATTATATACTTCATCTCACATAGAATATTACCAATAATATTACAGTATGGTGGTGTAGTATAATATAATAATATATAATAATATTGTGCTGTGCTAATAATATAATATATTGTATTAAGTCCCCCTTTGGGGGGGGGGGATAAATATAGGAAATAAATAAATAAATAAATAAATTTACATATGACTTGTAAGTCGCTCTGAGTCCCCCTTTGGGGTGAGAAGGGTGGCATATAAATGTTGTAAATAAATAATATAAAAAATATAAAAATAATTATATAATAAAAATAAAACATAGTTCTATAATAATAATAATAATAACAACAACAATAATAATGCATTATTCTGCGTTCCCTGTGGGGTGAGAAGGGCAGAATATAAATACTGTAAATAATTCTACAATATAGTAATAATTCTGTGCAAGTTTTGTTCCCAGCAGGGCCAACTCACTTGCTGCGGCATGTCCCCGTGCAGAGGGAGGAAGCGCAGGCCGGGCGTAGGTGGGCTTGACCGCCCGGAGGCCAGGACCTTCCGGAAGAGGCCGCAGTGGAAGTCCACTTGGTCGCAGCTAGAGAAGAAGACCACCACTTTCTGGCCCTGCTCAAACTGCGGGGAGAAGAGAGGGTGGAAGAGCAAGCGTTACTACAACAGACATATCTAAATAAATAAAAAATTATTATTATTATTATTATTGAGAGCAGCATTGGTACAACAGACATATAAATATATTATTATTATTATTATTATTATTATTATTATTATTATTAAGAGGAGCATTGGTACAACAGACATATCTAAATAAATAAATATATTATTATTAATATTATTAAGAGCAGCATTGGGGCAACAGACATATGTAAATAAATATATTATTATTATTATTATTAAGAGCAGCATTGGTACAACAGACATATATAAATATATTATTGTTGTTATTATTATTATTATTAAGAGAAGTATTGGTACAACAGACATATCTAAATAAATAAATAAATATATTATTATTAATATTATTATTATTAAGAGCAGCATTGGGGCAACAGACACATGTAAATAAATAAATATATTATTATTATTATTATTATTATTATTATTATTATGAGCAGCATTGGGGCAATAGACATATGTAAATAAAATTATTATTATTATTATTATTATTATTATTATTATTATTATTATTATTATTATTATGGAGCCCCCGATGGCGCAGTGGGTTAAACCTCTGTGCCGGCAGGACTGAAGACTGACAGGTCACAGGTTTGAATCCGGGGAGAGTGCGGATGAGCTCCCTCTATCAGCTCCAGCTCCTCATGCGGGGACATGAGAGATGCCTCCCACAAAGATGATAAAAACATCAAAACATCCAGG